GTTTCACTGGGACAATAAATCAGGGTATTTTTCACTGGTTGCAATGTAAACAATCAATTACTGAGCCTTCCAATGTATCCCAAATTTAATCTTTTAACCAGCATTGGCATCCTAAGGGTGTCTATTTCTTTCTAAGCCTAAAGAAAAAACTGACTGGATGACGCTTCACAAAAAATAATGACGTCATTGACACCGCGAGCACTTACCCAAAAAAGCATGATTCAAGGCGCTATAAAAGTGAGGAAAAAAGTGCTAGGACTTCACAATTTGGTGTCCATCCATACCAATAGTGGCAAAATATGTGACCAAAGTTTCATTAATCTGCGTCACCGGTAACTATGTTAGGCTCAAAACTTTTCATTCACCCTACGTATAATGGGGAGGTCGCAAAATTGACCTGACCTTAGGTCATCGATATCAAAATTCTGAGATATACATTTTGTACATGCTATTGCTCTTAGCAATCGCTGAAAGTTTCAAAGCGATCGGTCACTCGGTGTAGCTATGACAGACATTGAAACTTTTTATGAGGTGAGGTCACTTCAAGTGACCTGGTGACCTGACCTTGAATGACCTTGGTCTGAAATTTTCACAACATGTGTAGAATTGATGTATGATAAGGTGTACCAAAAACGGCGGCGCTCCGCGCCGCCGTTTTTGAGATATTCGCGAAAAACCACAAGGGGGGTGTTCAAACACCCCCCCAGCAGGGCGCGGGTTAACATCTCGGTTTTCGACGCATTGACTTTCATTCCATTCTGCCAGAACCAAGTACACATAATGTTTAGTACCTGCTCTAGACATAGCTCCATCTCAGCGAGTCGGTTCCGTGGTCCTGTAATCGCCAACTGAGTGTCGTCTGCGTACCTGACGGTCGTAATATGAAAACCATTGATTTCCCGAGGTATATAACATGACAGGTCATTTGATGCGATGTTGTATAGAAGCGGTCCCAAGCATGTACCCTGATAGCAGCCAATCTCGATCGGAAGTGGCTCGGACAATTTATCTCCCATGCGGACTCTCTGTTCGTGATCGCTCAGGTAACTACGGAACCACCCGGTGGAAATGCAAAATAGTTCTAATTTGGATAATAACATGTCATGGTCAATGACATCGAAATTCGAAACAGCGGCTAAGGTCAATCAAAGTTAAAAGTGAAATTTCCGACCTATCCATTCCGTTTAAAATTTCGTCTGTGACCGTCAGAAGAGCAGTACATGTTGAGTGCTGCGCCATGAACCCATGCTGTTCTTCACTGAAGATGTGATTTGCTCTCAGATAGGCTGTGAGCTGTACGTGAACTAGCCTCTCAACGATTTTGCTAATAACCGGGACTAGCGTAACAGGCCGAAAGTTAGCCGCCACAGAAGGGTCATCTTTTTTGTGTAATGGTATAACTACCGCCCGCTTCCAGCTCCGGGGAACGCATTCGGACGCAAAACTAGTGTTAATAATCCTGAGCAAGTACCGACCAATTACCTCAAAACTAAGCTTCAAAATTTTTACGGGTATGTCACCTTCAATTTGAGAGGTTTTGTTTGGAAGCGAGAACAGGATCCGTTTCAGCTGTTCCAGTGTGACCGGCGTGATGGTCAGGGCGCCAGTGTGAACTCGTGGCAGTCGCGTGTTCAGCGGCTCAAGGCCTGACCGCCGGAAATCGGCCGCCACCGCGTCTCGCGTGTCAGTGCCGACTGACGTGAAATAACGATTGAGTTCGTCCGCCGTGATATCCCTAGGTTCGACTGGTTTACCGCGCTTAGGGGCTATGATGGGCCTTAAATGGCGATACAGCTCGGCGGGGGACGAGTGTTTGACACGATTTGCTAAAGTCTCGCGGCAGTCGTTACGGATCGCGCGCTTCGTTAGAGTGTTTAGATTTTGGTAATTTGGGTCACCATTAATTTTTGCCATTCGACGCTGGTTCATTAGATCTATGGTTTCATCGGAGACAGGGGGTGAATTCGGGTTCCGAACTCGAAAACGTCTGACTGGAGCATGCGCCTATCTAAAGCGGATACTAGAGCAGAAGAAAATGAATCCCATTGTTCCTCACATGATTGATTGCGATTGACTACAGATGACCAGTCTACATTAGCGATATCACAGAGAAACGACTCGCCGCTGAACTCACGCCAGTTGCGAGCAGATCGGTACTGTGTTTTGGCCTTACTTCGCGGTATCCTGGTCTCAAGACACACGCGGCGATGATGACAAGAATAGTCACAGCTCTCGACAGTACATGTCGGCTTGACATGATCATTGCACAGTGCATCAGATAGTAAGAACACGTCAAGGACAGAACGACAATCACCGCGATGAAACGTCGGTTCCCGCACCACACAGCTCAGTCCGTACCTCTCTAGCTCCAACAGACGAGAGTGCGCAACAGGATTGGTCCGTTCGTCCGCATTCATATCGCCTGCGACAATGATACATTGGGATGGATATGTGGCTATTACATGCTGTAACTGTTCCTCTATGTCATTAAAGTCAACTTGCACCTGATTCTGATTTGATGTGGGCGGTCGATAAAAACAACCCAGCAGTACAGCCTTTTTCGCATCGAACTTCATATGTTACCACCCACCTCTAACTCAAAAACGAAGAGGGCTAGAAAAAACGCGGTAAAAAGCAGTCGATAGCTCTCAATGCGTACGTTTGAAAGTATTTCAGTCATTTTTAATCTTAGAGCAATATTGGGGTCACTAGAGGTCATTAAAGGTCAAAATTTGCCAAATGTCATAATATTTTTCAGAAAACATGCATTTATCTCAGAAATTATGATAGCTACGAAAACGCATGGGAAAGCAATCGATAGCTTTTGAACTCTTCTTGCGATAAGGTCAGAAGCAAAATTGACCTCAGGTCAACGGTTTAGCCTCCAGAGGGCAAAAACTCCAAAAATAGCTGTTTTTACGAAAAGTGTTTTTCGACAATAACTTTTGACTAAAAAAAGCCACGACATTTCTATTGCCAGAATCGTGTTCCTCTCGCCGAGACGCGTCGAATGAACTATAATTTGACCTTGAACGGTCAACTTTAAAATTTGACCTCAGGTCAAGGTCATGACCTGACCGGAAAAGGTCATGTTGCATATCAGTCGATGCGCCTCAACAAGACAAACACAATGAGACCATCCCCAGCGTTCTATCTCTTTCTAATCGCGAGTTATTGGCAACAATCTGTTTGTAGCCTAAAATGACCTCGGATGACCTTTCTAGAGGCTACCAGCAAAAATGACACCTTGGTCATCACGGGTGGTCCGAATCATTGTGATTCTGAAATATTTGGACTGTTCCTATGAGTACACACGGATCTAGAGGCATTTTCATTTTTCTCCATTGACTTGTAATGGAAAGGTCACGCTACTGACCTGACCTTAGGTCACGGATATAAAAAATCCGAGATATACAAATTGAAGGCGCCCATAACATCATGCAATCCACCAAGTCACCTTTCTGACAAACACTGCAGGCTGGACATGATTGCAAACTTTTTTTAGGCTTGGTCAGTTAACTTGACCTGGTGACCTGACCTGACATGACCTGGGGTCAAAAATTTCACACATTGTCCAAAATTGATGTACCAAAAGCTACCCCAAGCGGCGCGGCGCTACGCGCCGCGGTTTTTTATTCACACGCAAAAAACGCGACAGGGTGGTAACATATGCCCCCCCCACTGGGGCGAAGGTTAATAACCGCTTCTCGATTTATTCGAATTCTTAATAGATCAACTTTTGAAGATATGCACCGCACACACAAGTTGGTACTGTCGCATCGCAGGCCTTGGCTAGTGTAAAGGCCTGGCTACACTATGCGTTTTCTGCGTGCGTTTTTGCAGGTTTGCGTGTTTTGCGTAATATCGTTCTAGGAAAAAAGTTATAAACAATATAATTTTTACTTTGGTTATATACAAAAGCTAATATAACTCTTATGTAACTAACATTTTAGGTGAAAAACATCACAAAAACGTAATATCGTTCCTTTTTCTAGAACGATATCACGCAAAACACGCAAACACGCAAAAAACGCACGAAGAAAACGCATAGTGTAGCCAGGCCTTAACAAATGCTTATGCTCACAACTTCAACGGCAATGCGTGGAGGAAATCTTTTTGACTAAGAAAGTGAATCAAAAGTTGCATACTGTTCACATGAGCACGCCGCTGTAAAATAGTAACCACAATATAACAACCTCAGTGTGTGTCAATAGTACCTGGTCTTCATAAAGCCCGAGGATTGCCACTTATCGTTAACATTTTAACCGGACTATTTGTCAGATTGGTTTCAGTTCCTTCAGTGGTCGGCACTACAGTGCTTTGGCGACAATTAGGACATTATAAAAAAATAATTTGTGATAAATTCGGATCTTTAAACTCTGCTCACTGATCATAAGCACATATTTGAGCACCAGGTAATATAATTTATAACTGCATTTGCATTTCATTCATCCACTGGAAATTGCATTTCTGTAATACCTAGACAGTCCACTACGAATATCTTTGAATATTACCAGGAACACATATTTCAATTGTGTTTATATAATGTAAAATTATTTATATCTGATCCCGCTTGTTATTAGAGCAAAAACAGTATTTGATGTTCAAATTTTCACGATTTGAAAATAGCGTTGTCGGTTGTCTCGCAGACGTTCAATCGCTATCCGCTGGCCTTCGCACGCCAGAAGCATGTCGGTGGTAGCGCCTTCCTCATACCAGCATCTGGCTCTGTTTGTCTTACATTTTCCTTTGCTGTCTCACACTCCAACAACAGTCTTTCTGTCCGTTAGAGTATGTCTTTGCCAGGACAAAAATAAAGTGTTGTGCTGCCCGTGCAAAAGGAAATGCGAAGGAAAGGGAGGGAGTGCTCGCTGAGCTATTTCTGCTCAGCGAACTTCCACCATAGCGTTGCTCTTGTTGCTCAACGAAGCAAATCCTATGGAGTTGTCTCCAATGCTAATAGAACAATGTCTTATGTGGACATTTTATTAGATGCTCTCCTCCGCTATGAATATTTTATTTCCCAATTTGTTGTTGAATCACATACATTGCACACAGACAAGCAAGTTCAAATATAATTACAAATGAGTCAATACTCGTACACAACTGAAACTGGCGACGTTAGTGGTATCCGTATCCCCTGCCATATCCACCGTATCCGTAACCACCGTTATATCCGTATCCACGCGCGCCACCGTATCCATATCCGCGATTTCCGTATCCGTCATATCCACGGCTGGCGCCGTATCCGTATCCCCCATATCCGCGGTTGGCGCCGTATCCATAGCCACCATACGAGCCACGGCCGGCACCATATCCATCATATCCGTGGCTTAGTCCGTAGCCTCCGTATCCGGATACGGATCCATATCCGTATCCGCCATATCCTCCCTGATGTGCGCCGTATTCAGTGCCGTATCCAGTACCGTATCCAGTACCGTGTCCGGTGCCGTGTCCACCGGTGTATCCATATCCGGCGCTGAAAGATAACCGGTGATTGTTAGATGTCCACCATTTAAATCCATCGCATCCATTATAATTGAAAACTATTCCTGATTGAGGTCAATTTGTGACTGGGTTGTGCTCATACGTGACGAGCAATAGGCGGAAGATTGCATCCATACATGTGTCCATTAAGTAATTGTTGACAATATTTAAAAACCAATGGCATTTGATATCAGAAGGTGCAAAAAGTGAACTGATCCAGCTCCGTCACACAGCATAGTGAATCAGCATTTGGCTGGCCTGCTCCGTCACGCAGCCTAGTGAGTCAGCATTTGGCTGGCCAGCTCCGTCACACAGCCTAGTGAGTCAGCATTTGGTTGGCCAGCTCCGTCACGCAGCCTAGTGAGTCAGCATTTGGTTGGCCAGCTCCGTCACGCAGCCTAGTGAGTCAGCATTTGGTTGGCCAGCTCCGTCACGCAGCCTAGTGAGTCAGCATTTGGTTGGCCAGCTCCGTCACGCAGCCTAGTGAGTCAGCATTTGGTTGGCCAGCTCCGTCACGCAGCCTAGTGAGTCAGCATTTGGTTGGCCTGCTCCGTCACACAGCATAGTGAGTCAGCATTTGGTTGGCCTGCTCCGTCACACAGCCTAGTGAGTCAGCATTTGGTTGGCCAGCTCCGTCACGCAGCCTAGTGAGTCAGCATTTGGTTGGCCAGCTCCGTCACGCAGCATAGTGAGTCAGCATTTGGTTGGCCTGCTCCGTCACACAGCCTAATGAGTCAGCATTTGGTTGGCCTGCTCCGTCACACAGCCTAGTGAGTCAGCATTTGGTTGGCCTGCTCCGTCACGCAGCCTAGTCAGCATTTGGTTGGCCTGCTCCGTCACACAGCCTAGTGAGTCAGCATTTGGTTGGCCAGCTCCGTGACACAGCCTAGTGAGTCAGCATTTGGTTGGCCTGCTCCGTCACGCAGCCTAGTGAGTCAGCATTTGGTTGGCCAGCTCCGTCACGCAGCCTAGTGAGTCAGCATTTGGTTGGCCAGCTCCGTCACGCAGCCTAGTGAGTCAGCATTTGGTTGGCCTGCTCCGTCACACAGCCTAGTGAGTCAGCATTTGGTTGGCCTGCTCCGTCACGCAGCCTAGTGAGTCAGCATTTGGTTGGCCTGCTCCGTCACGCAGCCTAGTGAGTCAGCATTTGGTTGGCCTGCTCCGTCACACAGCCTAGTGAGTCAGCATTGGGTTGGCCTGCTCCGTCACGCAGCCTAGTGAGTCAGCATTTGGCTGGCCTGCTCCGTCACACAGCCTAGTGAGTCAGCATTTGGTTGGCTAGCTCCGTCACACAGCCTAGTGAGTCAGCATTTGGTTGGCCTGCTCCGTCACGCAGCCTAGTGAGTCAGTATTTGGTTGGCCAGCTCCGTCACGCAGCCTAGTGAGTCAGCATTTGGTTGGCCAGCTCCGTCACGCAGCCTAGTGAGTCAGCATTTGGTTGGCCTGCTCCGTCACACAGCCTAGTGAGTCAGCATTTGGTTGGCCTGCTCCGTCACGCAGCCTAGTGAGTCAGTATTTGGTTGGCCAGCTCCGTCACGCAGCCTAGTGAGTCAGCATTTGGTTGGCCAGCTCCGTCACGCAGCCTAGTGAGTCAGCATTTGGTTGGCCTGCTCCGTCACACAGCCTAGTGAGTCAGCATTTGGTTGGCCTGCTCCGTCACGCAGCCTAGTGAGTCAGCATTTGGTTGGCCTGCTCACCCGTAAGTGGGATGGACGATCTCAGTTCCGTACGAGGACGTGCCGTAACCGTCAGAACTGGAAATACGGAAAGACGTCAGATAAACTAAAAGTATGTGATAAACCAACAAACAATAAGAAGTTAGCATGCGTGCCCTACAACAGGCGCATGTTTACTATATTCTCACAGGTTTAATTAACACTACCTTCAAATGTTTAACGTTTTACTTTTCAATTACTTCAAATGTTATTACCTGAAAACCTTGCATTGCTAGTTGCTAGATACGTTTTGCTGTCGCTCATGCTGGTTTTGAACTCACATGATCGTACGGTTGAATTGTTTTCTATTGATATTTTTTGTGGATATGATAACTAGGCTTGCTTTCACTCTACTTCATCGTAACGTATGAAATTATTTGCCCATTGTACACATACGGTGATCCATGGGTGGTACATTTATGCTCCTGCACTGTTAACATGTTTTTCGCTGCGGTTTAGACTCACGTGTGGACACGGGTGTAGCTCTGAGCAGCTCCGTAGCCGCTGGCTGCGGCGGCGGCCACGGCGGTAGCCAGGACGACGAGCTGAAACACCAACAGGGCCAGTAGAGGTAATTCAGTGCTGTAAGGGGTGCTGGCGGTGTGGGACTTCTCTCGTTCCTCTGCCAGCATTCTTCAGATTGAATCCGAAGAACGGATTTCTTTCTTCCCAACGCAGTGTTTACCTAATGCTGATATGCTATGGGCAGATATCTCGTAAAGAAAAGCTGGAGTAGTTTGGACAAAATGTCATATCCATCACATGTCTCATGCACGCGCTCTCAAAAGTTCCGCTCCACCACCAACAGGGCCCGCATCCACCACTCTGCCCTCCCACATCCACTACTCTTCCCTTCCACATCCACTACTTAACCCTCCCACATCCATCACTCTACCCTCCCACATCCACCACTCTGCCCTCCGACATCCACCGACCACCGCTCTGCCCACCGCATACACCGCTCTACCCTTCCACATCCACCACTCTGCCCTCCACCTCACTAACTCTCTGCGCCTCGCCGGGGCCTCACGCCTCTCCACTACACCACTCTCTCCACACCGCCACTCTCCCTTTTCACCAGCCCTTTCTCCCCTCCTTCCCCCAACCCCCATCCCTCCCCAGCTCTGTGCTCCATTCCACCTACCTTGATCATTGTGGATGCTCCCTGAAGGCGTCTGACTGACTGACTAACCTGGGACCTAGCTCCAGTTGATATATACCACCCCCGGCGCGGGGGGAGGGAAGGGGAGAGGTCAGTGACGGGCTCCTCCCTGACCCCCTCCCCCTCCCCCCGTGACCCCGAGACGTGAGGGCGCCCAGTTGTGTACGACGCTGTCGCTCGAAGGTCAAATCGCTCAGATAGGACGCACGTAGCTCGAGCAGTAGAGCCGCGGTCAAATAAGCGTCATTTTCAGCGATGTCGTTGCCGGCGAATGACACTGCAAAATGACCAGAGCACGCGCAGAAGCCGTAATGATTGGGTTGGAAGGCATGGTTAATCAAATGAGATTCGTTGGCACTCGTAACACAAATGCGTTCGCATTGCAGTTTGATCATTGATGTGTGCAGTGTGAGTCAGTCAGAAATTGAAGCTTAACGGTCTTCCCTGCAACTTAACATTTGGGCAGAAACAGCGGGGCATTTCGATTGACTAAAAATTGGTACACACACACACGGCTCCTCGATGCGCTGATTCCGTTAATGTATCTCTTTTGTGTGGTATTTTGCAAATGTCGCAATGCTAACGGGCCATTACCCGCTCGCGCTAACGCGCAAAATACCATCTTAAAGTGGTATATTTTCGGAATCAGTGCGTCAAGGTGGCCGTGTATACCATGTTTAGCCAAATCGAGACACCTTGTAATATGCTGCTCTGAGGTGATACGGCTTCTGCTGAACTGACAGACGTACAATTAGCTTAGTAATACAAATATATCATCACGGCCTATCCAAACGTCATGCTTAGAAATGAATGCTTCAGTTCTGTCTGTATATTATTGGCTGCTTGGAGTTACTAAAATCAGCACACTGAGAAAAATCCTGACTCCTCATGACACCTTCAGGGGAGTTCACCAAAACGACACCCCAAAACTCCCAGGTGGTACTCCTCATTACACCCCCTCTAAAACTCTCCACTACACCCGAACACTTCCCTCGAGAAACTCTCTGTAACTCTCCCTACCGTTTCAGAAAACTCTTCATTACTCTCCTTTACCCTATCAAAACAAACAACATACTCCCTGAACCTCCCTTCCATTACTCTCAATGACTCTCCTACTGCCTCATTACTCCCGATTACTCCATTCCATTATTCCCCAAAACTCCGTTTACAGCTTCATGGTATACCTCTTGTTACTCCCCATCAAACTCACCCAAACTTCCCATCACTCCACTCCAGCCTCTCCCCCCCCCCGAAAATAAATATTGGACGAATAGCGTAACCACCCAAAGCTCGTGTACCAAAGCACAGATAAAAATATATTTCAAGAAATGTGCATTCATAGTCCGGGCGGTGGAGGCTTAAAAATTAACAAACGCTTTTGACATCCCGCCGCGGCACGCTCTCCGGGATCTCACTCCATATGCTTTACGGTCGCGAGTTTTGATGTTAAGAATCCAAAGGCGGCCTACCACAGCAGGATTGCTTGGTCTGGTGGTGCCGCTACCCTACCACCTCCTGGGCCTCGACGAATACTGCGTCTTCTTCGTCCGGCTCTCCTTTCACGATGGTGGGGTGGATATTTTGCTGGCCTCCGTTGGCTTCCGACGTGTCTTGCGGGATGCGCTGCAGGCTCTTCAGCTCATCCCCTGCAAAATGTTAATAACTATGAAATTATAGGTACACTTAACATTGCTGGGAGGAAATGGAGGAGAAAGGAAAAGAGAAGGAGGGAAATAATGAAGGAGAAAGGGAGGGAGGAGGGGAGGGATGAAGGAAGGAAGGAAGGAAGGAAAAAGGAAGGAAGGAAGGGAGGGAGAGAGGGAGAAAGAAAGGGAGAGGGGAGGGAAAGAGGGTGAGGGAGGAAGCGAGGAAAGATGGAAGGAAGAAATGAGGGAGACTGAGAGGTAGGCAGATGAGACAAGATGGACGAGACGAGACATATACGCGACCTGACGTGTTGGCACTGATACTGCATTTCGGCACATGATGTCAAAATAATGAACGCAAGAGATTGCAAAGTTAGCATACTTTTTATGCACTACAATTTTGATAAAGTTAAGTTTCAGTGAAAGTCTAAAGGGCAAGTTAACAGCCTCCATCTTAGTTGCAGACACAGTAGGGCAATGCTATAAAACGTACCTACTTGAACGCTCAAAAAGTTGAGCAGTCGCTAAAAATAAGCTAAGGACGTTATACGCGGCATAGGTACCTATGTTAACATTAACCCGCGCCCTGGTGGGGTCTGTTTATAACGCGACCTGGTGGGGGGGGGGCAATTTTTTGCCCCCCCCCCTCGTATCTCCGAAACTACTGGACGGATCCGCAAAATTCAAACGGCGTTCGAAAGGCCTGTCAAATTTGTCGAAGGAAACAAAATTTCATTGACCTCGGAGTCACCGATGACGTCACAGGTCAGGTCAAAGATGAAATGTTTCACCGTTCACGGGTCATCTAGGGAATGCGCTTTAACACCGAAGAAAACGCATTTTGTCGAGAATCAGCGATAGGGCGTCGGTTGCCTAGTACATATGTTGCTATAAAGGTCACTGACATTACCAGGTCAGGTCACAGGTCAGGTCACCAAGGGTCACAGGTCAGGTCACATGAACCTAACTTTAGATACTAAGGTTGTGCGATGCATGTTTTATTGCCAATTTTTCATTTCCAACTCAATGGTGTTGGTTATAAGACTATCAGGTACGGCTTAGGTCACTTTCTGGTGGAGGTCAGGTCAAGGTCAGGTCAAAAAGGTCAAATTTCAAAGTTGATATTTTTGCATAAAATGGGTATCGATTCGATGCAGCTCGTCACGGGGAGTCTAATGGTGGTCTTTGTTTTGCGCTACGAGGTCTATAATTGCTAAAAATTGAGTTTGAAAATTTGACGTCATCAATTTTGAACAGTTTTTTTCGCTATAACTTGGCCAAAAAAGAGGTATCGATCTCAAATTTGGTATGTAGATAGAGGGCGGTAGGGACTATCACATATATTCCGGTTTTTACGAAATTCAAAAAACTTTTTGGATTTTTCGGTTATTATAATCAAAAAATCTATTTTTTTATTTTTGGGGCGCAAAATCCAAAATTTCAAAATCCGAGATAGCAATTTGTAGCCCTGTCAATTCTACAGCTTTTATGTCTTTATCATTTTTCTGTATTTGCAAAGCTATAGGCCTGACAGCTCTTCCCGCGAAACCCTTTTTTGGTCGAAAACGGCAGAACATGACGTCACTCTGACGTCATTTCCGGCCAACCTATCATAGCCTTTGGAAAAAATTTTTGGTCCCAATGTGTAAAATTGATGTCCGGGAGGGTACTGAAAGTTTGGTGACGATCGGCGCAGCGGTTCTGGAGATATATTGAAAAATCTGGAGGGGGGCAAAAAATAGCCCCCCCCCACCAGGGCGCGGGTTAATGAACGAAATTCAATTATGGACACTTTCTAAAAACATACAACAATTTAGACAAAATTTATTTAAACATGCTGGTTTGTCGGTGGTTTTCATCATTCATGGGCAGTGGCAGTGGTAGGTAACTGATTTTTTATATATAGGGCTAGGAAAATCAAGGCTTTTATGCCAAGATAGTTTAATTTTCTGGCTCTGCTTTGAAAGCCCTTCAAATTTGATATTTGTCATTGGTATGGATATTAAAATAATCGGGCAATAACAATAGAATCCATGACGTGTAAAGCTTGTGTAATCCTAACTTTCCAATTTATTCGAGGGAAATAATGTATGATATTTGCAAATACCTAGAAACTCAGAGCATGCTGTTTCCGATCTTTATCTCACTCAGGAACAAAACAATCAATTACCCTTACAGAGACCATTCCAGCCCATCAAGAACATGGGGTTTCCATATGTTCTCATCACAGCATTATAACACTTTGCACTATAAAAGCATGATGGGACATACAGCTAAGCTTACCTTTAAATCCAAAGTAAGGTCCAATTATCCGTCACTGTACAGGTCAGGTCCGTCTAAGTCAACAAACACGCTCTTCACTAACACCTCGCCCGCCGCCCCGCACAACGTGCTGTGTACTACGCGCAAAAGATGGCGGCCACCGGCAGCCTCGCGACGTATGCTAAAACCCCTTCGTAACTCCCCTTTTACTCCTGTCGGAACGTTCGGGAAAAGTTTTTCGGGAATAATGGAGAGTTGCGTCACAGGTTTATGGGGTGTCACACATGGAGTCATTTCGCCATCCATTAAGAACTCTTGAAAACTCTTTCGCAAAATGAGGAAGGCTCGAAGTTACCCTAGAACACACTCAATAACTCTGCTGGAAAGGGAGTTATCAATGGTTTTAGGGAGTTTTCAGGGGAGCATTTTCAAGAGTTTTGACCCATATGGAGTCAATGCACTCCAACAAACCACCCACGATTACCTAATGTTCACTGGGGAAGCCCGTTTTTTCCAACCATTAGACGACGTATCTCCAACTGTGCGTGCTTCAGGCCATCCCAGGATGTTTGTGACCGCAGCAAAGATACCACCGAAGCCGCTATCAGCGACCCTGAGCGCTACGCTGCGTGCGCGCTTGTTGCAATGGCATCGCGGCTGGAAACCTGACGTTGCGGAAACTGTGGAGCAAAGCAACGATTATGCAGCGCTGAATTTTTGCATGAGTGAATGAGTTTGGGCTATGAAACATGGAACGCGAAACGCTTATCGGCAGGTGGCAAACGAAGAAACTAATGGAGCGATTACTACCGTCGCTTTGGAGTCAAGAGGCGTGGCGAACAGCGGTCATTTTGCAACAATCGCTGAAATGTGGCATTAGTTATTGGTCAAGCATGAGTAATACACAGAAGGACTCATTTTGGCAGACGTGCGTTAGTAGAAAGTTGATAGCCAATCTGAATCGCATTATTCTCGCCATTTATGCGTGGTCATCTGCTGACTATAACTATACTATACAGGGTGGGCAGAAAGATTTACCTGTTTGTTTTCAGTCCATTGCTTAAAAAGTTATGAACGGATTTTGATAAAATTTTGCATGCAGCCTCCCAACT